TTGGTTTTTGCCAGGCCGACTGATGGGTACTTGGAAAAGGTCAGAGAAGCAAACGCTCGTCACTTTGTTCCAGGCATTTACTTGACCCCAAAGTTATCTTCGTTAGGTCACTTCGTTGCCTTCGAAGGTTCACAGGATGAGACTGTGGTGGTGCCTGTTCGAGACTTGAAGATAGCCTCACCGATTCGTTTTGTCGCTGAACTTGGGATGTTGTGTGAAATTCCAAATTCCAAGAGTGGAGTGAAGCCAGACAGGATTGAAAGACTACCGAATGATCTTTCGAAACCCCAGAAATTGGTTGATTTGCCCATCCATGAAGGGGAACCACCTTGGTATTGGAGTGAAGTGAATAAGACTTCGAGATGTCCAGCTTGTTCGAACGGGAGTGAAACAGGTCATTCAGTGAAGTGTCGGAACCGTTACAAGAAGTATCTTGAAGAAGAGTACAAACGGATAGTACCGATCGAAGACGAGTCGTCTGTGCCCGTCGTACCTGAAGGATTGGAAGAAGGCTTGGATACCGAAGGAAAGCCTGAATCTCAGCAAGAGTCGGGAGAAAGAGTTCCAGAATCAGAGTCAGAACGAGAGAAGAGGAAAAGAAAGTCTATCGATGATGAGTGGGATAGATTTCATCGTGAGCATGAAGAGAAAGAAACTGGAGAGAGATTTCCAGAGTTTGATGATGTACCGTTCCATGCGCCAAAGGGACAGGAAGCGGATACCGAACCGACACCAATGCAAGAGGATCCAACGAATCCATATGAGATCGGAAAGAATCCGGAACCTATCGAGGATGATCGGATGAGTGAAGGCTATGAGCCAACAGAAGTACCGGAAGGGTACAGAGCACCCGAATCACCCGGGGAGAGTCCCATGGACATTGATTTGTTCCAGAAAATCCCAAGGAGAGGAAAGAACCGAAATCATGACCATTGGGAAGTTGACCTTGACAAGCTTGTGTTGAGAAGAGTTCACCACAGAAGTCGAAAATGTGTTTTTGCAGCATCATCACTGCCATTGCCGATGCCTGAGGATCAGCTGGTAGGTATTCAGAGGACGTACTACGTCGACGCTGTTGATGAAAGGCCAGTCGATGAGATTCCAAGGGACCAGTTCAAGGTCCATGTCAGCGAGTTCGGAACTCAGACCGCGCCATTGAGGCGTCATTGGAAAGGGTTTACCGAATTGCCAATCAAGCAGCTCTACATGTATGATCATCAAGGTAATGCCATTGCGAGCTTATCAGATCTAGGTAAAGAGTTGTGGGAAAAGGTGAAAGACCCCTTGTCAAGATGTTCGGATGATGAGGTTGAAAGGTTCTTGTCATCAGTTCAAGAGGGGGTACTTGAGTATAGCAGGAAGGTTCCAAAGGAAACCGAGGAGTCCAAGTTCGACGCGAAGGCCGATTCGTGCAAAGTGTGGTTTGGAGGTAGATGGATTGTACTCCGAAAGCCATCAAGAGCGACTTCAGATATAGGTGAAGGTCCATTAGATGTGGATGCCACGTTCGAGGGAATGCACACAGAGGTCATTGCCCTACCAGGAGAGTGTGTGAGCACGTAAGGATAGCCTATAAGTGCTGAGACCTTATAGGCTACTTTGCCGCCAAAGGCTAAGTTTGCCAGAAGCGTCGCCGAGACCAAAAAATGTGTTTAAGTATCAATCGTTCTTTGACCTGCACCATGCTTTGTGCAACCCAAGTGTTTCTGTAGCCAGCAAGGTTTGCCAAAAGCGCCGCCAAGACCAAAAAAAAAGTGTTTCAGTATCAATCATTCTTTGACTTGCACCACGCTTTGTGCAACCTAAGTGAAACTGTAGCCAGCAACTGCTTGACTTGAGCCATGTTCTTTTGCGCACTTATGCCTTTTCCTTCTGGGAGCTAACATCACACACACCTTCTTTTTGCTTGTTACGTTTTTACATACACATGCTCTGCTTATAACGCTTGAATCTAGCTAGAAACTTCCAGTAGAGGCTTGGCAAGGGCAGATGACACCGTGCTCTCAAGAAGCGCAACATCGCACGTGTGTTTTCCTCCGGAAAACGGTTTCTCCAGCTTCTCGACCCACCAAGGATTTTTCCAAGGGGTTCTCTTCACAAGTCACCGGTCAAGCTTTTTCGCCCAACCCAGAGCAAACACCCCAGCACTGCGTATTGTTGAAGAGCACGGAGACCCATGGTTGAGGGATGGGTATTCCCACAGACTCTCCTCAGATATTGAAACACTTCCTTTTTAGGCTTTGACTTTCCAGACAATACCTCATAAAGAAAGGCGCAGAGAACCAAATAGGATTGAATCCAGTCTAACGTCTTCATGACCCCCACTAGATCTTCATCCAACGTGCAGGAAATATATCGTGGATTGTTCCAACTTTGGTCCACGAACCTGGGAGAGATTGTGTACACAGTGGCTAAAAGATCGATTTAAGCACATCTTTAAAGTTCAATTAAGGCACAGGTGTTCGGAGGCGTGGAGCTTAGGGTATATCGGCCAACGCAAGGTGCCATTGGCCAAGCACACTGATGCAAGGTCTAAGCACAGCCAAGCAGGTTCACGAAAGACAAGTCATGACTGCACAGTGGAGAAATCACAGCCACAGAACTGAATGTTGCCTAGTATCAATTGTATCCTTCACGAAAAGCAAGGTAGTTTTGGATCAAATGCACTCGGGCACTCAGGAGTAAATACTTACCGTGCGCCGCCACAATTGTGTAGAGGTTGGCCGAAGCCATCACCGTGTTTGCTCGCTGCCTTTAGTTCCATACATGTTCACACGCACACGCCAAAAATTAAGAAACGATAAACACACATAGAAACCATATGAGACATTGAGACCAAAGGCACGCAATGTACACATCGCCAGGGTTGTCCAGCGCACATTGGTGCAAGAAGGGCACTAGCCAGAAAATCACGAATCTAGTTGCCACGCCTTTGAGGACTTTCTGTGATATATGTGTATATGCCACCGTTGAAGGCTTCAAGATCTTTTTGGTAAATAATCTGTGCGAAGCCCTGGATGCATGGGGAACACCTGCCACAACCACAACCACTTTGGAACAACGTCCCAACCAACATCCACACACGAAAACAGAACACGTGAAACATGTCGAGCTTGGACCTGAGCTTGTGCACCAAGCATTGTAATCCTTCCACAGACTTGGCAAGTCATGACCGGAGTTGCTGAGCTCCAGGAGTGAAGACCACACGGCATCGGCAGCAAGTTGAAGATCCACAATGTGAAGTAAATCACAGTAGATCCCTGAAGCCATCGCAACAGCCAAACAAGAAGTCATGCTACACAAGGCAGTCAAGCATGTTGGCCAAGAAGCTCCAAGGGTCAAAACCCATAATCCGAGTAATCTCACTTTCTCCATGGAGGTTGATGAATTCATCTATTCCAGAAAGAAGCCTGGATTTTTGAAACAGCAACGAACCAGAGCCATATATAGACTGGTAATGAAACTTTGTTGTTTCTGGTTGACCCCATTCCAGAAAGTAACGTTGCACGGTGCCCTGCTCCAGGCCCAAAAGCCGTGTATAACAAATCTTCTTCCCCAGGTTCAGCAGATGAAATAGCAGAGCAATACGGGCAGCAATGCTTTCTTCCAACATGCCAAGAGCCTAAACTGACACAGGGTTGAATCCATGGGAAAGAAAACAAACCTCGCAACTATGCAATAAACTATTGTTCATTGTAGTTCCATGTGGACAATATGAGCCACACCATTGGGCCATGGAGCGCTTGAGATTGAAGGTGTCATGCAGCCATGCTTGATCGCCTTGCACGCCGTCAAGGCATCCTCGCCAATTTGAAGCGAGAAACGTGTTTCTGCGGGCGTACCACTTTGGGTAGTATGTCGGGCTGAATTGTCGTCCGTCTGGATCTCTGTCCGGCCATTTTCCACAGCCTGAGCCACCATGCAGGCCTTCTACTTGATGCTGGATGGCGTGGAACTCTATTCTTTATGGCATCTTACCTGCAACCTGGGGACACATTGCATTGAAGCTCCACGATACCCACTTCAAAATCAGTTTCTTATCGTCCTGTTCACATCAGTGATTCAAAAAATCACAAGGGTGAAACCAATGGGGCAAACGCCTTGGTTGTGTACACCGTGTTCCTGACTGACAACCTAAGCTACAGGCACTGGTGCTTGAGGGAACTGTGTAGAATATAGCTTCATTCTTTTTTGCAACCTAGCCACACAATTCTTGTAGATTTGGAACTTGAGGATGTTGAGCAGGGACAGATCAATGATAGGATCTCAAAATTTTGGGAACCTTGAGGACAAATCTTAGGGTTTTGCTTTTCGACAATTCATTTCATGCGCCACACGAGCTAACTAATCAAAACGGGCTACCCATAACGTCAGCTCCATCACCATACAAACGGAACGGTACTGCAGCGATAGCGCTTCCATCTAAAGCGGGCGGGGCCTGGCTCGGTCATTTTTGTGGAAAAAGGCTCCGGCTGTCTCACTGTCCACTGCCAGCGCATACAGCCTCCTCCCCCCAAGTACTCAGCAGCTTCGCTTTGAGACCCGCGTTGTTTTCCCAATAAGTAGTCAGTTCCTGTCCAATGAACCAGCTAAGCGTGCACTATATGCTTTACATTCAGAAGCCAACAAGCTTTTGAAACAGGAGTGCGCCAAAATTGCAACAAGGCTCTGAAGGCGTCCCAGTCATGATTGCATAAAAGAGATCCCCATTCCGGAAATGGTAGAATGCAGAGAGCACTTCATGAGGAAGGATGAGCCCCATTTTCACTGTTCTCATAGCAGAGCTTTCCGTCGCTCTTGCCTTAGTATTTTACCTATCCACCCACTTCATGCATGATGCTGGGAAAACAAGGCAGTCCGGGCGCCACATTAATTAACTAGCCAGGCAGCGTTCGGCACTTCAAACCTCAAAGTCCCAAACGTAACACTGCATGGGGCACTGAAAAGAACATGAAGCAGAGTTTGGTTGACAACAGGAACGCCATGGATACATAACCAAGACTAGCTACACGAGGATCTCAGGTAGGCATTGTCGCCATTCTTGTGTGCTGGCCCATTTGGAAAATGTTTCCGCAGTTGCCCAGCCATGTTTGGCATCTAGCATGTCCATCAATTTCAAGATAGGAGGCCTTGGAACTCTTGTGTGAGGTGACATTGCAGGAAAAATGGCCCTGTAGAAAAACTGTCCATCAAGCTACGGGATCATGTACTCAGGAAACTTGTTCAAATTCTGCACGATTTTCCGAAGTCGTTTCATTGAGGCCTCACGACGAAACTAGCTAGGCCTCTCCATCTCTAGGATCTGTAGGAGGCAACACGAAATTAACCTGCCTGTCCCTTCATAACCATGTCAATGAAGTCCTCAACCAACGTCGACACGGCATCAAAGGATGGACGACTGCCACCCGCTGGAGCACCTCCATGGAGCAGGACACGGGTTTTGACACAAGAACATCGGGGGTGTGTGGACGGAGATGCGGGTGCAAACCAAAGGCATTGGACATGCTTCTTTCAAAGCTCTGGCACAGCTGCTCGCGTCAGACCACGCTGGCACTCGATCGGTTTCAGAAATGCATCAGTTCAGATGCTTCACCAAACTGGCTTCCCTGTATATACAAAGTATATACTCCACTGCCAGCTACCCCGGAAAGAAACGGCCCCTTCACATCAAGAAGAGGTTCACAAAACTAGGCATCCACATACGCATGGCGGTGAGTCAACCCTCACTCCTCTTCTTCTTCTTCTTCGTCATCGTCTTCGCCCTGATCGCAAGAGGTTCCAGATTTGTAGAACTTCTCAAGACTTGTTGAAGGAAGCACTTGGCAAAGACTTGCGGGTTCTTTGGCAAATGCTTGAAGGAAGAATTCCGAGAAGCAACAAGGCCTCCTCAGGAGCATCTTCCTTTGGAGGTGTCCCCTCACTCTTGGCTTTGCCCTCCTTCTTTTTCTCGCCTAGTTTTGACAGAAGTCAAACATTGCGGTTTGGTGTTGCAGAACAGTTTTCGCAACAATTGAAAAAACTGGGGGGAGCGCGAGACTTGTAGGACCGCACCATGGCCTTGCCATTGTCCACGAGATCCTCGATGGCCTCACGTGGCAGCGGAAGGAGAACTTCAAGCGGCAAAGACCAATTAAGAAACGCTGTTGCGAGAAAGTCTTGACAGCTGAGCTTGTCTTTGAAGACAACATGTAGTATATATAGTGTCCTGACTCTGGTAAGAACCTACACCTTTTGACACTTAAGCTAGCCCTGAAAAACAAAGATGTGAAGCACTGAGACTACAGGACATCTACCTCACTTGTATAAACAGAAACACTTAAGCCACGACTGGCCTCCAGAGCTTTCCTGTTTTTCTCGTAGCAGTTAATGGCATCCTCGTATGAAAAGACCCCTTCAGCCAACCTCTTCTCAATCCTCAAGACTGCATGAAGAAGTTGAGAGGGCATTTCTTGAAAAGTGGTTTGAGGTTAGGGCTCGTTGGCAAGAACTGTCACCTGCTCGTGCTTTTTGCCCAAGTTGGTCTTCAACTCCTAAGTTCAAAGACCAGTTCAGGGTTGAAGAGAAACAGGGCATGTAAAGAAGGACGGCAGTTCAAACCTGAATCCAAGGATCGGAATGGCCAGAGTATGGGCGAAGATCTTGGGTCGTCGTGCGAATCTTGCCAGCAAGCTTCCGCAGCCTAAGCAAAACACCATGAAGTGATTGAGATTGGACACCGTACCAAAGCTAAGTAACGCGTTCAGGTTCTTTGTCGTCGAGGTTTTATCCAGTTGTTCCTGCAAAGGCAGTAAAAGGTTAGCACAGTCACCCATATAGGTTTTTGAAAGCAAGTCCACACACTGTAGCTAGACCAAAAAAAACAAGGCCTGAGTCTTTTCCTCCTTTGGAGTATTTTCCTTCGGGGTTCTTGGCTTCTTCGGGTCCTTTTCAGGCTTACCTTTCACAAGTGGCTGCATGTTATCTAACATGCCTTCCAAGCACTTCCTCACATCCCCAGGTTTGCCAGCTTCATCGCCATCATCAGTGTTGATGTTCAAATCTGAACTGATCTTGGTGCCGGCTTTGTTTTCAGTCCCACCTGGGCCAAACAGTATACACATATATGTATATCTTTTTGCACTGCGCCTGACAACCCCCTAGGCTCTATATCCTGACGGTGAAGTTCAAGCGCACACTGCAGACTGCATCGAAGCGGCTCTTCATTTCACGATGCTTGAAGACTTTGTAGATTTTGTAGTCCGGGTTGTTGCCCAACTTAGTCAGTGGCAGGTATTCAATTCAACGAAAAACAGAATTTGGGCCAAGGGTGGTTTGAGACAAGACACACCTTTCATGGGATTTTTCCGGCCCTTCTGGGTCTTCTGGATCTCTTCGATGAATTGCCTAGCTGAGCCGGGTCTCAAATCAAACTCTAGAGATTCCAAATCACGAACCATGCGCAGTCCTCCCAGACTTCGTTGACCCATACTGCATTTTCAGGTCCAACAACGTGACCTCTTGGAACAACTCATTGTTCTTGCTGACGGTGTTCCTTAAGGTGACTTCAAAATTGAAAAGGCACCATCTAGAAACGGAGGTTTGGCCGGAGCTCTGCTCGACATAAGCATTCAGTTGCGCGCCACGCCTAGGAAGCAAAGCCATTCGCATTTAGAGATTTTATATATATATATATATATTTATTTGTTGTATATGGTCAATAAGGTAGGGACATTTCATCGTGCAACAGGAACTCCTTGAGAAGGTCAAACCTGGACAACAGCCCAGATCAGCATGATGTGGGTTGTGAAAAACATGAAGCTCAGACCCCCGAGACCGCCACCTCTTCTTGTGGTTCCCACTGGCTTCATGGAATTTGGTCAAAAGCGCCGGGGGCACATCTGCACAGCAGATGCAAAAAAATAGACTAAGCACATACTACACAGTCGGGCACCACCTGGTTGTTGCATGCGACGATCCAGGGCAGCGTACAAACACTTTCGCTCCTCGCGTTGGGGACCATGACCATGCTGTTTTGGTTGAGATTGCAAGCGGCTGAACTTCACCAATCCAAACGAATCCAAACAGTTTAACTCGTTGAACTTTCCTCCACAGGAATGTCGGACGCTTGGGTGCACTCGGAAATCGCTTTTTTCTGCTCGTCGGTCAAGTTTTTAACCTCACGCGGTGAGCCGATAGCTGAGGAAGAGCATGGAGCACTGCTGGGCCCGCGACCCTCTTGAGCTTGCCGTCCTTGTCACGAACCGCCAGGCCCTTGACCTTCACAAGTCCCACACCACCTTCCTGGCCCACGACGTGGCAAAATGTGTGAACCACTAAATGCATGAAGAGCATGCTGTTAACACACATATAACCATGCCACAAATTGGCACAGGCCACGGTTGCAGACGTGTCGGATCGCTTCCTCAGCATGATGGACACAAGTTTTTTGATGTTCAACTAGACAGGGCTGGGGTCTTGGCAACTCGGGCCTTGAACTTGCAGGTGTTCCTGCCAAACCAACAAATTGACATATACCCCATGGAGATCTATAGGTATACGCCACCCTACCTCCTGTCACTTCTTTGGTCTTCCCTTGCTGTTGTGGCTTCTGAGACTTTGCAGTCTTGTTAGGTGCCTCCTCGGGCTTCACTCCTGGCTGCTCAAAAGTTCTCCCACAAAAACGTGGGGTAAACTGTACTGCCTTCAGGTCGTAAAGTGTCAGTTGTCCTGGTTGAAGCTCATCACCCTCATCATCATCAAGGTTTTGGCTTTTGAGCCACCTTTGAACTTCAGGGGGAAGATCACCAGCGTCTTTCAAAAGCTTCGCCACATGGCTGTAGTCAGGTTCTTCCTTGGCAGGACGCTTCTTCGGAGCTGCCTTCGCCTTGGGTTTTTTCTCCTGTTTTTTGACAGCTTGTGTTTTCTTCGTCTCCTTTTCCTTCTGCTGGTTCTTTTTCCTTTTCTGCTGAACATTGACATCCTCTTCCTCTGCCTCCTCCTGTTCCTGTTTCTTTTCATTCTGCCGGTTCTGGTTCTTTTTCTTTTTCCGAGCGTTGACTTCCTCCTCCCCTTCCTGTTCCTTTTCCTCCGCTGCCTCCGCCTGTCTCTTCTTATCCTTCTTCCCATTCTCCTCCCCCTTCTTCTTCTTCTTGTTCTCGCCACCCTCTTCCACCAATTCATCTTCAATCATGAGTTGTGGGGACAGTTGCTCCACCTCATCTTCCTTTGCATCATCTTCCCACGCATCATCCTTCTCCTTGCCTCTTCGCGCTTTCGTTTCCTTGGGATCCTTTCCATTCTTTTCTTTCTTGTTTTTCTTCACTGCCGAGTCTTCAGCAGCTTGCTCTTGTTCATGTCCATCACCAGCTCCTTTCCTCTTCTTCTTAGACTGGTCATCTTTCGGCTTGCCTTCATGGATCACCAATGGTTCTCCATTTTCATCAACATTCATTTGTCTCAACCTCCCTGGGCGAGTTTTTGATCGGTCACTGGACTCATCTGGTGAACTGCCTTTTGTTGCGGATACACTTGCTGAACCTTTCCCAGACAGCCCACTCTTTCCTTTCCCCTTCGCCACTGACAGCAGGAATTCTCTCAGCTCTTCTTGGCTCTTTCCTTTGGATGCTTCATACATCATTCTCAAATCCTCTCCATGCCCATCAGCTGGCGGTTGATATACGACGGTTTCTGGTGAGATTGAGACATGCCTAGCGCTTTCCTCAGACCTCTTGGAACTGCAACGTCTCAGAACAGGCTTTTGAGGGGTGGTGTAGTCCTCAGATTGATCCGGTTTCTTCCTCGGCCGTGCGCAGGAGGTCACGATGGATCTTAGATGGATCTTGAAGCCACTAGACTGCAGACTAGAGGCCCCATGGAAGGCAGCCTTAGTCAAAACATCTACAAAGGATTCACTATGTTTTTGATGTTACAAAATTCACGGAATTTCACGGACATGTACCCGTGAAGACGAACTATAAAGTAATCTTCACGGAAATTCACGGCTCAGGATTCCCGTCAAATCTGTTTCATCCCGTCGAAGTCACGATGGGCGTCGCATATTTCATGAAATTTCATGAAATTTCATGAACTCATGAAATTTGTTGAAGTCGATATTTGTCCAGTGCATCGGGTTTTGTTTAGAAGCCGTTTTCATGTCGTCGCAGATTTCATGCGTTGATAAGTGTCCCGACTTCGTCGCAAATTTCATGACTGAACATGAAATTTCATGAATTTCATGACGTGACATGAAATATGTTGAAACCGTTAACATATGATCTCAAAGTTCATGAAATCTACGACGCCCCCTGAGGCATGTGACCTTGAAAGCTGTGATCGAAAAGCCAGATCTGCCAAGATGCGAGACGCCCGACCGCACTGAAGACAAGCGTATGTGAAACAGAGAGGTCTGCAGTATATATATATATAGGCCATATAGCTACATGTCTTGCAGTCAGTGCCCAGTGTGAGTGAAAAGGCTGTTCCATGTAAGGAAGAGTTGACGTTGGCCTTTTGGTTCCCCACAGCGATTCGAAGCCAGTCAAACTTTCGGATTGCAGGGTGCACCGTGCACTCTGGTGAACTTCAACACTACCAGCGAGAGTTGAAAAGAAACTCCATTGTTTTGGAGTTAACCCCAAAAGTCAAAATCGGGCTTGGGGGCACTTAGTCTAGAATCCCTGAAAGCCCCGAGTCCGAATCATCGTCACTCGTGTCATCCTGAAGAAGCAATCCATCATCAGACATGGCCACAGCATTTGGGTGACACTTCCTCGGCATCGCTGGCAAGCAGTCAACGCTTTGATAGGTAGAGTCCACAAGTGTCTCTTTGGAGGTATTTGCAAACATACCATGGACACACGCACTGCAGGCAAGGTACTTTTGTTCTGAGAGCAGCTCCCCCACCTCCAGTGTAGTAAGACCAACAGCTGACATCATTTCTATCAATTTGGAGTGTTGGGCTTCACGACACCTACTACATATGATTTTAGTCCTGGTAGTATATACTTCCAGCGCCTCCACCCGTCCCATTGACCAGACCGCGCCTTCAACCCCAGCCCAATCGGATACACGCTTGAGCTTCGTAGAGCAGGTCCACCACACTTAGAACAAATTAGAGGGGCCCCAAAGAAAATCCTTTGTAGGCCAAGGCTAGGCCCCACAAGAGTTGCGCAACAAGGCTGGAACAACCTGTGTTGGTTACAATCAGCAACCAAGTTAAGAGCAGGGCTACTTTGTTCTCGCCAGCACGATTGGTGTAGCGCTTCACCATGCGGATGTTCAGAGATGATTTAAGGCGTGCCAAGCGTTCCCTGCGCAGCACATGGTAACACGAGAGGTGCACTATTCGGTAGCCTGCTCCAAAAACCACAAGCCAAGCCTTTGTTCAGGATCAACCCGGACACCAAGGGGATCTAGCCATTCACAATTGGTATAGAGCGTCACCCGCTTCCTCACAGCTTTGTCACACAAGTATAAGCTCCACACACGGTTTAAGGATCTCTTGCACACACATTAAAGAAGACGAGGCTCTCTGTCTTGGCGCCAAACATTCCCAGTGGTACAGAGATTTGTCGAGCACGGTGGCGTCTCAGCAGCTTCTGCAAGCCAAGTACAAAAGCATATGCCAGCTGTGGTTAATCACATGGCACCCAACCTCCATGGGTCTGTATTCCCACAGCAGGGAGCTCGTCGGGTTCTCCACGCAATACCCAATATTGCGCTGGTGGCAGTATTCCATCCTGATGGCTAGGGTGGAGCGATTGTTTTTCTGGGTTTCTAGACCAATTGATTCAAGACCTCCCCCCAACCAGTGCCCACTACTATATACTATACTACCACTACTGCTGCTGCTGCTGCTGCTTCTACTACTACTACTACTACTACTACTACTACTACTACTACTACTACTACTACTACTACGGCCCTACGGCTACTACTACTACCACTACTGCTTCTTCTACTACTACTACTACTACAAATCGGGGGGGTTGTTGGGAAGATCTTGGAATTGGGTTGATACCTCCAAGAGTTGGAATGTTCAATCCTAGAAACTAGTTAGAGAGTTTTGGGTACAAGCTGTTGACCCTGGCTCCCAACCCTTTCGGTTCAACTACGACAAAAACACCCCTTGCAAATCAAGGAGCAGATACAGCATCCGCCTGATAAGACGGTTTGCTCTTTTCACCTTGGCATACCTTTTGTTTCCTGCGCTGGGCAACCGGCAAAACACGTTTAGCTTTTTGTGAACAGCGCCCCATGACTGTGCTTGTAAACTGGGCAATTGCCAGCTGAGGAAAGCAAAGCATGGTCCTCTCGGTTTGATGTGGCTTCTCCCTGTCGAGCCTCGACTGAGCCACACCCATGTCGCACACGGCGGCGCAATCCACCATAGGGAGAACTCTCGGAGGGATCTCAACTTAGATGCACCAGGGAAATCCACAAAGCTTCACCAGAGTCATAACTTGACAACTGAACGCGTAGGATCATTGAGCTTTACATTGGTGTAAATGAAACTCGGCAAACAGTCCCACATGGATTTTGGTTCCGCCTCCGTTCTGATCTTGAAAAAATGCACCACAGTAAGCTTCCGAGAGAAAAGAAACTCAGAAGGTTCCCGGTAGCTTGTCCACAGTGTTTCTTGTTTGGTTTTTCTGGCAAGTGGCCGCCTGAAGCGTTGTTAAGAACCCCAGCCCAAAGAGTAAGTTGTGGCCAGGGTGCATGAGCACCTCACGTACACATACAAGAAGCATGCGCGCACAATGATGTCAGGAGAAACCAGGAGGGGAGAGACTACTGACAATTAGTGAACAAATAGTGAACAGATATCTTTACCAAACAGCTGTCCAACATAGACGGATACTTTCAGTCACAGCGAGGAGTTCAATTCAACATGTTTTAGAACACCTCACATTTGTACGCTCAAAGTTCACGAACCCTTCTTGGCCAAGGAGCATCTCGACGTTGACACGCGTGCCCCCACAATCGAACGCCACTCGTGAGGAGGCCTTTCGCTGAGCAGTCTTCCTGAAAATCTGTTTCATCTTCAGGCAAAACTGGGCCGAATGCCAAGTTCAGAGCCACTAAAAGTGGCGCGAGGTGGCTGTACTTCATTGCTCCAGGCCACGGGTGATCTATCTGGGATTAGCTTTCAAGTCAGGGCAATCTATTTGGATGGCCCATGGACATGTCACACATGTTGTTTTTAATCAACGCATACCTAGCACGAGGATCAGACTCTTGGAAAAATGGCAGCAGGCAAACACACCAAACCTTCATTTCTGAAACAGCTGACGATGAGAAACTGCTTTCCCAAGGATTCACCAAAAGATGTGACACATTAACGGCAGTCTTCACTGACTTGAACTGCTGCATTCAGAAACACGCCTTCGAGATCCAGGGCAGCCTGTCTAGACCCACCAGCCATTGGTCCTGCGCCATTTTTGTGAGCATGAAACCTACGGTTATCATTGAACAGATTGCCCTGTCCTGGTAAACTCATTTAACTTGCTCCCAGCACCTGGGTGTGAAGAAATTGGTGAAGACATAACAGACTCAGTACTGCACAGCGGTTCCACAGCACACTGACTGAATCTGACACAGATGGAGACAGACATCAGTCGCAGAAACCTTACATGGCTTTTCAACCCCACGTCGCCAGGATGCAGGATTCCCCACACCTCAATTTCTTTGGTCGCTCAATGAAATTTAAAGATATACCCGTAGACACACGGAGCTTTGCCCAACAGCCAACAGCCAAACAAAATGAACTAAGTGATACCTGGCACAAAGGTTTTTTCTATTCTGATTTCAAAGTACCGTGGTGTCTCCCAAGCCAACTATTGACTTACCCCAGAAATTGTCTAGCAAAACCTGCGCCTTTTGCGCTCAGCTGTGGTCATGCCCTGCAACAGCTCTGCCCTCTCCGTTGATTCCATCCACAATTCTCGAGCTTTAGCGTGGCTCATTCCTGAGCCCTTCTTCTCATCCATGAACTTCTTGTATGTTTGAACAACTGGACCATTGGCATTCCGGCCAGTCGTCTCGTTTTTCTTGGATTTCTTGCCCTTCACATTGCCAGCATTCCTTGCCTTCTGGGGGGCAGACTTTTGAGCACTGGAAGTAGTCACCCTCTCGGTATCTGGCCTTGCTGCTGCCTTCAATTTTTGTTCCATCCGTTTGGCCACCTGAAGTTGGATTTTGGCGTGCGGTTTCGGTGGTCTAGGCGGCGTGTAGCCGTCAGGAAGTTCAAAGAGCTTGGCCTCGGGTGTGCAGCGAATATCAGGACAGTAGGCAGCTGCAGGCCTGCCGGCAGTACTGTCTGCCAACCAGGACTGATGCGTCCATGCCTGCTGTTCGGCCGCTTGATATTCAGCTAGCCATTGGTGGAAAGTCAACGATGGGTGGTCGCAAGGATCACGTTCTTTCACTTCCGACTCTACAGCATTGAACGCAGTAAGCCATTCAGAAAAGGACCAAACCTTCCCATCATCGACAACCTGCTCATTCTCGGTTTTCAACTCATGGACCCCGTCCTCAAAAGTAAACTCGTATAAACATTGCTCTCCCAGCCCCAAAGCATTTTACAAAACAATACCTTTCAGGCCCCAAAGAAGCTCGACCCATACATGCATGCGTGCTTCGCACACAACAGTAAGTGTCTATAATTTTTCATTTGGGACAGCTCCCCAATGAAACACCCACAAGTATATTTTCCTACTGCGCCCGTATGTTTGATTGGCACCAAAGTGTAAAATTGGCAGCCAACAACAGTACACATATAAGGTTCATGTGTCGGACTCCGGCCGCGGCATATCCTTGAAACCAGCATCGTCCGGCTGCTGAAGCGTCTTGTCCTGCAACGAGGGGATCACAACACATGAAAGAGCAAACGCAAAAAGAGAAAGGTTTTCAGCTATTGAGGATTGATATTTACCTGGAACGCTGTGGCATTCCTCAGGTGTATACCCAAAATCACGGATTCCTGGAGCTGCCCACTGCATCTCAGGGAACTGAGGTCAAGACATCTGGAATTCGCTCTGTGTCAGACACATTGGCAGAATAAGCCTTTCCCGCCTGTCATGGAGCTCAGCCATTCATAAATAATTGTTCAATTCATAAAAACCATGTTCCGGAAAAGTGTGTTCAGTGTTCTTTGCCTGCTGATTTTCATCTAGTTGGATTGGCAACTGGCACCAACATGATAGAACTGATAGAACCCTTTGATTGAAGGCCTCTGTCTGCTCAAGGAAAATTGCTCGAAGATGCGCCAACATTTCCTGAACACAATACATAATACAGAGGCTACTTGCAAGGGGCGCTCATGTCAAAAGAAGACATCTTTCAAATGGTTGCACTCCTGAACTTCTGCCCTTGAAGGCAAACGTTCGCTTCTCCCACGAATGAGAGTCCACACGGCAATTTCAATGGCGATTGGATGCTGCGGAAACTCCTCAGCACACCACACAGTGCAAATGAACGCGCTGCTTGAGATGCAGTCCTTCTTCAGGTCGAAGGATTGTCCTTGATCAGTGACCACGACCCAGGGCGTATCCTGACAATTCATTGTTGCGCCAGTGCAACCCTTGTAAGCAACCTCACCCAAAAAAACATTCAGGCCTGATCAGAAAAGGCCGTCTGCAGATACACTCGTTTCACATTTCTTTACACGATGCAGCGCGCAATGTTTTCTGACAGGAACCCTCCTCAATTGCTGGTTCATCACTCAATCTTTCAACTGCGCGCCCAAACAACTTGCGACGGCATCCCGTTGGAGCCTCCGGATCTTCACTTTCACATCCATGGTCCTGCCCGACGCAGGAACCTATGACATCAAATATTCTGCCCCAGTAGAGAACAAGCACGCTCGAGAAGCACCCTTGCATGGACACTGGTGCAATAAAAGACAGGAAGGCGCAGCAAGAACATTAGGCAACAACTTGTCAAACTTTGGAGTCCAATGTGTTGATGGCTTTGAATACACCAAAAAGAGCATCCAATATGTTTCGATTTCTCTGAATATCTTTCCAAAGAACATATTAACCAGTCATGGTCACACTCGGAAGCGGAAAAGTCCAACCTCCTCCGGTCGTTCATCACCAGGCATTTCATAATAGGCCTGATTTCCATAATCCTGCGCCAGCTCAAAAAAGGGGGGAAGCCAAATCGACTCAGTGTGATAAAGTTTAAGCACCCTCGCATCTCTTGAACAATGGGCACCTGTGTGTAGTCGTCCTCCACTTGGGCTTCCTGAAGAAACACAAAAAATTGAATGCGCTTTTAATTAAGAGTTTGATTTTGCCATCGCTCTTGCCAACCTTAATCCTATGTAGTTTCAGCGCTACATGCGTATCAATCCACCAGACCACACGGCCTCAGGACCCTCACAGTTTCCACCGTCGTTGACTTCACACCAGATGGACCGGACAACCAACAAAATTACTTTCACCGAAATTGCGTTTGCAGAAAAAGTGTGCATGTATGCCACGGTCATAAAAATCATCTTCTTCCCAAACCTCTTCCAGGCCAGTGTCCTGGAGAAAACACAGATACACGCACAGACAGCTACATGCATGGCAAACGACACATCGTAGGAGAAAGACAACAATAATCGATAAGAAGAGTCCTCCATGGCACCCTCCCAACGAGATTCCTGACAGCGTGCGCGCGCACATAAACACACACAGAACAATCGTGGCACAGCTTGCCCGCATATCTGAGGATTGGACCTTATTCCTTTGTCCAGCCGCTGACCCCAGCACCTAAAGAGAGGTTGAAAAAGGCTGCAGACGGTCGAGCTCAAGAGCGGCAGTGGGATCACTCTTAGGTTCCTTTTTCCTCTTTCAAGTGAGTTCTGTGAGTCTGAGGGCCCCAACTTCATACACGTGAAGATCCTCGCTCGCAGGCGTATTAGTGTGTAGATATATATATATATATACACATATCTATATATATATATAATGTACGTTGGTATATACTGTAAATAGAATTTGCTTGCCATGCTTCATAGGCGACATCAAAACCATGAACAAGTGCTCAAATTCCCTTGAATCCAAGGTTCATAAGGTTGGGTGTCCAAGTCGTCCATCTTCCGTTTCGCGCGAATGCGTTTGGACCGCTTGGCCAACGCTTTCAACCGAGCACTTTGAGCCTTGATGACCTCTTCGATGTCGGAGCGAGGGTCGTGAATCAGTTTGAAGGGAAGTAGAGCCAACAACTGCCGGATCACTGACTGGCACAGTCTGGTAGTAAAAGTTCTCCCATCGTACTCCCTCAGAAAAACAAACTTGCGATTGGTTTTGCGCCTGAGATCTAGCCGTCTAGGGATCATGTTCCCTGTGTTCTCGACGCTCTCCAAATCTAACACTTCCATGAGCCGGGCTGCAACTTCAGAGGAAAGTTTCCTCCGGCGAAGCCTTTGCAAGGAAAGTCGGCCTTGTCCATGGGCCTTTCGGGGGGGGCGAGCCATATTACTGAGCCAAATGCTCTCCAACCACACGACCAGGACATGGGTCCTCCCCACAAACATCCACAAGCACTCAAAAAACACCTGAGCCAGGCACTTATAGTCCAATATTGCTGGTGGCATGGCGGCGTAAGCCAAGTTCAATGCTTTCAGCTAGTGTATCTACACGTTTCTGTCTTTATAATGCTTCCACCAGTTTCATGCACAACACTTCGTGCTACACTAGCTGTTCAAACATCGGGTAAAAACACAGGCCAGCCAGTCTGGCAGGCCAAAGCTCCAAACTTTTGTTTCCCACTAGCCAGCACTGGCCACCTCCGTGCTGCCTCTTGTGTTCGGTACCGACTGAAAAAACGCGGAAGGCAAGCCAGTCTGACAGCCTAAAACTTAAAACATGCACATGCCACTGAACCAATCAAATCATAACACTTCAAAACGTACACAACACCTGTAGGGACCTTAAATAAAGAAACTTCCGAGTTATCGTTTTCTTTTTTCTGCGCGTGTGGCTCAAGAAGCTGTCTTGGAGATGACCAACAGCTTACAAGTTCCAAATTGTCCAGACATAGACTTACATATTTCTGCCCCAGCCCTGGGTAGATGCCAAAGAATCTGGTGTGGGGTGACCCCCACAGACAAGAGCACTTATAGACGATTTTTGGGCACACGCGGTTTCAACGAGCTATGAGTCCTCACACCCTCTCCTGGTAGAGAAGCACAGGACAGGTCAGGTCGTGAATAAAAATGAAGCGCAAGAGTATTGCCAGATGCATGGTATCCGAATCATCTCAACTCGATGGGTAGTTGTAAATAAGCATGATGCTATCAAAGGAGACATCGTTCGATCGAGACTTGTTGTCCGTGATTTCGCCACAGGTCCGTCAGCAGCCGAGTTGGGCGTTTCAAGCCCTACAGCGTCATCAGAGGCGTTGAAGGTTGTGTTGTCTTATCTTGCTCAGAAGTCAAGTTTTCGAAAGAAATCAAAGAAAGGAGGAGTAGGAAAGACAGCATGGGTTTTAGATGTAAGTACAGCATTCTTGCACGCCCCCGTGATTCACCCAGCGGTCGTTTCGTTGCCGACTGGGATGGAAGATGAAGACGGAGAGCCTTTGTTTGTCATTCTTGAAAAAAGCGATGAACGGACTTCGTTCTGCAGGAATGTCATGGTATCGTCACCTAGCCGATCTGTTAGATCAAGAAGGTTTGACAGCATGTATGACGGAAAAGACAATCTTCGCCGGAAGATATCGAAAAGGAGTTGCAGAGACGGAAGAGGAGAATCACTTGATCGTTTTGATGTACGTTGATGATTTGCTGGTTGTCGGAGACGATCGAAATATTCAGAAGCTCGTTGATGAATTATCAAAGAAGCTTAGACTGAAAGTCACCGGAAAGCTTGAAGAAGACAGAATTCGTTTTCTGGGAAAGGTAATCGAAAAGGAAGAAGATGGAACGATTGCCTTGTACATGGAGAAAGAGTACTATGAAGGCATGATGAACTTGTATCCAGGAGGAAAGGAAAGTCAAGCGACCCCCAATTTGTTTCAGCTTTATGATCGTGATCGAGAAGAAGATCGGAAACCGTTGTCACCCGAGGCAGCAGCAACCTTTCGAACCGCACTAGGTAAGCTAGGTTGGGTAGCTCAGTCGAGACCTGATCTTTGTTGGTTGTGTTCGATGCTTGCCCGAGGTCAATCTCAGCCGCTAGCTGTACATGAGACTGCGATGCGTGCGAGTATCCGTTACATCCGATCAGTAGCCGATCGAAAGTTGAAGTTCAGAAGTTATGAGTACTCAGGACCACCAAGGATTACGACCTATGTCGATGCCAGTTGGGCAGCCGAAAAGTCCACCAATAGGAAGAGTACTTCAGGAGCAGCCATCTTCGTTAGTGACTGTTGTGTCAAAGCATTCAGTAGGTTGCAGCAGAGTGTAGCCTGTAGTTCAGCCGAGGCAGAGCTATATGCTTTGTTCGAAGGAGCGAAAGAGACTATAGGTATTCAACATGCCGTGGCACATGTCTATGGATGTCAAGCTGAGGAATTACCCATTCCAGGTTTGCTTACGGATTCGATGGCAGCCCGAAATGTCACAGAGATGTCAGGGTTGTTGAGAAGATTGAGACATATAGATATTCGAATCTGTTTTTTTGCAAGATGCAGTCTACAAGGGAGTGATTTCCATCAGCTTTGTCCGAGGTACCGAGAATTGTGCCGATTTGATGACCAAGGCATTGTCGAGAGCTGTGACTTTACAACATATGGAGACGATCGGAGTTGTCAGAGCATTTCTCATTTCATTTGAAGTGCCGTATGACTGGATCGGGAGATGGTTGTGGGTTATGGATAAGGTCACATGTACCGAAATCCTAATTGTTGAGTTTTGCACATCACCGGAGTCCGAGATGAAAGAAGTCGGAAGCCGTATGGAAGGTGTTGAAGTCTTGACTGTCACTGAGGCGGATGACGGAACCCGATCGGACACGATCGAGTCAGTTCGGGAGCAGATGATAAGCCATCGGAAGAGAGGAAAGCTTGTTGTCTTGTGGTCGTCGATTCCGTGTACAGGAGGATGTCCGTTTCAGTACATTTGTATCAAGAAGTTTGGTCAGGACTATATGGGTCATCTTCGAGAGTTGTACCAGATACAGAAGAAGCTATGGAAAGGTTTCTTACGGATGTCGGAAGTAGCCGATTTCGTAGCAATTGAATGGCCAAAGAGATGTGCTTATTGGGGATGGAATCAGACTAAAGATTTTCTGAGGAAACGAAAGACGTTTTCAACGTTTGTGGATGCTTGTTCAGTCAAGTTGGACCAGAAGGGTCAGTTGGTCAGAAAGACCTGGAGGATTGAGACAGATAGTACTCGATTGTTGGAAAGCCTGAAGGTTTGCGTTTGTGATGGTCGTCATGATCATTTGCCGTCCAAGGAAGTCAATTGGAAGGAAACGCAACACTACCCCAGGAGATTTTGCGAGCTAATCCTTAAAGGATTTAAAGCCGAATTAGAATCATAATAGCCAAGTAAGTCTTGCACGTTGTCTGAGCCGAATGGCACGTTTTTGCGAGCACTTTCGATTGCACATTTCGAAAGAATCTTGGTTTTTGCAGACTGTGAGATACAGCTTTTCTTGGAATGAAGCTTATACCATCCGAGGTATGATGCCGGATACGGAAACGGCGCTTGCGATGCTGAGCCTGGAAGCAGCGACCGCTTTGGTCTTTGCAGCTGGTTTTCTTTTGGGATGCCTGCTGACCTGCTGCTGCCTGCGGTGTCGGAAGCATGCTGAGCCTGAGAGCCAAGTGACTTTTAAAGTCGATATGCCGAAGAGCTATCCAGTTCCAAAAGGCATTGAGCAATGCTCAAAAGTATATTTTTCAGTGAGTGGGAGCAAGGTTCATTTGAATCCAACTTGCTCGGGCATGAACGTACCTATGTCGAAAGATATTTGTGCCAAATGTCTGTCCTCATTGAAGAAGAATAAGAAGGCTTAAAGCCAGCCAGTTCGTTTCGAGCTTTGTGTCCAAGAGGGGGTGAAGAAATTCCATGTCGGGATGTCCACCTCGCTCGATGCTTGCAGT